TGGAAGATTGCAATTGCCTTGGCAACTCATTTTGGTTGGTACCTTGAGCAAATGGACGTCGTCAGAGCTTTCCTCGAGTCTCTCATGAAGGGAGAGATATTTGTCGAAATTACTCCACTGTGGACAGAAGGTGGTAAGGAGACTACCAAGAAATTCGTCTACATGCTTTTGAAGTCTCTTTATGGACTTAAGCAATCTCCAAGACTCTGGTAGGAAACTCTTTCCAAGTCACTCATTAAGCTTGGCTACAATCTGCTGTACCATGACTCATGTGTCTACTACAACGAGAAGACAAAAGTATGTGGATGACATGCTTCTTTTGGGTGCTTCAATGAAGGCTATTGAAGATCTCAAAGCCAAGCTCGTCCTTGAATTTGAAGCCAACAACATGGATACTGCTAAGTACTTTCTTGAAGTATGTATTACACGCGATTTGAGCAAAGTCACTATTTCACTCTGGAATAATGCCTATATCTTGAAAATACTTGACAAATTTGGCATGTCCAAGGCTCGTCCTATGGATTCTCCAATGGATTGTGGTATGAAGAATCAGATGATTCCCAATATTGTTCAAGCCTCAAAGCAGATGATCGAGTTGTATTAATCAATGGTTGGATCATTGATGTATCTCGCCACTCACACTCGACCAGATATCTTGTACACGTGTGGTGTACTGTCAAGATTCTTAGTCAATCCGTCCAAAGACCAAATGTTGGCAGCCAAGAGAGTGTTTCATTACCTTAGAGGCATTGTCTATTTAGCAATTATCTACGGTGGTGAATATGATCATACCTACGGCCAATTTCATCTATATACAGATGCGGATTTTACGGAATGTCTTGCAACATATCGTTTGACAATCGGATATTGCTGGTTTTTCTTTGGAGGTATTGTAAATGTCAGATCAAAACGCCAGGACTGCGTTATCTTGTCCACAATTGAAGCTGAGTGCATTGCCGCAGCTATGGCATCTCAAGAAGCTACATGGTTTTGATATATGCTCAAGGACTTGGGTTACTTCAACAAGAGTGTCCAATCTCCACTGCTTTTGGCTGACAACCAAGGTTGTTTCAAAGTCGACGAGAACCCTGAGTTGCATCATAAGAGCAAGCACATTGCAGTAAAATATCACTATATTCGTGAGCAGTTTGCAAAGGGCAATCTACGACTACATTATGTGAGATCTGCAGATGAGATTGCAGATGGTCATACCAAGCCTCTTCCTTCTGCCTTGCCTGTTTAGGAAGGTACTACATAAAACTTTCTTTTGCTTATTTTGAGCTATTTAAAGCTCTTCTTTGTATGTTAGTTAGTCAGCTAGTAAGACCTGTACTCTTGCGCCATGCCTAAGGGGTGTCTTGTTAGGTGGTAGCCATGGCCTTAATGGTCGTTGAAGGATGCTCTGGCCTTAGGGATCCTTGAAGGGTGCCCTAACATCGGACCTGGTGTTCTGCCACTCCATTGTGCAGCAGCCTACACCATCGTACATAGTATTTAGTCTTAGTTTCGGTGCAATCCTCATCAACCCAATGGATTCACCTTTCAACATTCACTGCCCTACATCATGATGAGTGGAAGACATGATCATCTTGGAAAAAATCAATCCGATGTTGACAGATGCAAAAACCAATTGAAATCTACATTCAAGATGAAAAATTTGGATAAGTCTAAAAGTATATCATGGATAGATATTCATAGAGATTTGATGAAAAAAAGTCTATGGTTGAATCAAAGCAAGTACATTTAGCGTGTACTTGTCAGGTTTAATATGACATAGTCTAAAAAATTTCATGGTACTTTGACATCACATTTCAAACTTTTCACAACTTAATTTTTAACAAATGTCATTGAGAATGAAAAGATGTCAAAGTATCCTTATGACAATGATGTGTATAGTCTCATGTATTTGATGGTGTAAACAATGCCTAATATTGTTTTAGCATGTACATGTCAAACCTAAAGAATGTACTTTGAAAAGTAATGAATTGGATTCTCATATATTTAAAGAGCATTGAAGATTATGGTTTATTGTTTGATCATTTATTAGATAATGTTGAGATTAAATTCAATCCATAAGATTTCAAACAAATATAAATAAGAATATTTTGGTCAGCACATTTACTATAAGTCCAGACTTTTCATTTAATGATGACGAGTGATTCACAATTCTTAAAATGTGTATCGTGTTCTCTTCCTATACGATACTTGTTGCATTTTCAATCTTCTGAAATATGTATGAGTTGTTTAGTGCCGATGCAGATGAGATGAATTTCATGAGGGCTGGAAACAACATAGTTGAAAAAATGCCATTGAAACACAGTTGAAACATTTCGCAATCTACAGGCAACATAGACCTCAAAACGTCGAGTTAAAATCAAACCTGAGGACAGTGCAGCAATAATTGCAAGACAAGAATAAGCAGTTCAACACATTTATGAAACTTACTTTCACTTCTACGTTCTGGATCTACTTCATCGACTTGCTCGAAGTCAATAAAATAAGTAGAGATTAATCTCTCTAGGTACCACTACCTACTTTAACAGCCATATGAAGTTCTCAGTGTGAAGAGTAAACTCGATACCCGTCACGTTGCAGCAACAATCCTCTCAAGCGATGAGACTTGTGCACGTCATGGATCTTCTTCAGTGGCCAAAATCCGCGACACCCTCTTTAACTGAGAGCCTAGGGGCACGATTTCCATTCGTGTCATCTTACACGATTTCCGTTACAGAGCTGCCGTCATGAGCCTCTGTACTATGAGCTGCCGTCATTCATATGAGAACCATTCCGAATCTTCAGACATTTCAGACAAAATGTTGTGCCAGTTCCCATTAACTTAATCGAGGTGGAAAATCGAATCGTCCGGTTGCATTTGTTTCTCATCATCTGAGACCTTCCAATTTATTCAGATGAATTTCACGCTCAACACTCGGTGCGGTTGCATAAATCACCGCATATCTGTGGCAGACGTGGATCTCCATGTTCACGACAAAGAGTCACAATCCAAATTCGGCAAAGAACAAGAAATTCAATTGTAGTAAACGCAGGCTAAGTGCTGTGAAATCATGGTGCTACGGTCTGATTTTCTGCGGTGTCACCAAACTAATTTGTAACTTGTTTCACTTCAATGGACTAACTGCAAGTAGGGAAAGAAATGGCAAAGAATCAACAAAAAAAAATTTACTAATTTAACCCTGGCAGTAGAATACTATGGCTAATCGTGACATGGAATCCAGCAAGATGAGACGTGTACTTAGGTATATGTCCAGTTCTCAGGTCTAGAGTGTGGAGAGTCCTAACATTCTGTTCATGAGCTTAGCCCATGTCGGAAGAGTTACACGAATTTAACACGCATGTGAGCGAATGCCCGTTGGTAAAAAGAATGAATAAATGTCTCACGTGCTGTCGCCTGATGGTCTGATGGTCAATCGTTAAGTCATGCCTGGCTAATACATATGCACTACTGTACATATCTCCGGCACGTCTTACAAGCTTCGGAATGTGAACCTTCTCGTCCGTGTGTGTGTTCTTACCACGAATCGAGGTTGTTTGATTGCATTCTGTACCAAATGTATAAAAACATTAAGCTCACATAGAGCGTGCAGTTGACGACTCTCAAACAATGAAAATTAGTCAACATAAAGTAACAATATGATGAAATTTAATATTTTGATAAGAATCACGGCGATGTTTGGTGAAGAGACCCGTACGCGTTTAGATAGATTCTGACATTCTGACAGTTTATCATAAAATAGAAATCGTTGTCCCTGGCTCATGGAATTCAACTGCTCATGGACCATGGGCAGTCGAAGTACAGTATTCTAGATTCTTTCATTCCTTCTTTGTAGTTGGAAATGTCAGATCCAGCTCATTTGATTCAGGATTTTTTTGCGAACATCACTCACTCATGATTGCTCGAGTAGTTTTTGATTATGTGAAGTTTGGCAACCTGCTGAAGACCTGATTGTCGTGGAGTTTGCACCTGGTCTTGCGCGGGCACGTGCTTTACTCAGGTCAATTACGACAGCCTGGAATACAATGGCTGCTTACTGATTTGTGATCTTTAGAACTATAATCATTCCCAGCGGTTTGAATCTGTGGGTGATTCTATTGTTTCGGACATGTCTAACCTCTATATAAACGGCAGCATGTTCAAGTACTCTCGGCAGCCCTTGTGTGAATCTCCCAATTTGATGTCTGTCCTAGACACACATCAAATTGGAAGGCCGCTTCTGTGTAGACGGTACTGAAGTAGTTCAGATGATGCTTACGATCAGCTTTAGATGGGCAGTCGATTCACTTTGTACCTACTGAATCTCAATTGGCCATATCATCTAGAAGATGAATCAAGGCTGATCAGGACATACTTCAGAAATGCATGTAGGAGTGCATAATGAGTTGAATTTTTCAAACAATCATACTGTAGCATCTCTGTCAGCAGCTTTCATTGAGTTTCGCATTTCACTTTCTACTAACGGTAATGGGCAAGCAGGTTGGCAAACAGAGCACTGCAATTACAGGAGGGTGCATGCGAATGGACAAGTATTCTGTATTCTGCTTGCCTATATTCTGCTTGCCCATAGCCAGTAGTGGACGGGGAAATAGAATTGGAGACACAATTGATTTTCTGAGCGTGAAAAACTTGAGTTAATTCTGTAATTATGCCTCAAAGGTTTGCAGGAAAGAGTAGTCCAATGTAGAATCGCCTCGAAAGATGCATCATACAGAATAACTAACTTCTTACAAGATGCACTTTATGAGACTCAAGAGGGATCGAAACTGTGAAATCGGTCCCATGCAACCTCCTTGGCAGCAGGCGTTCCCAATGTCTCCATAACTTATCAAATGTACGTCTTCTGGAATAAAGACGGGAGATCAACAGGAGGTGTAGGAAGTTCATGCTGCGGCACATGTACGACTTCAGCATTCAAGACCTGGAATCTCAACGAGAGTCTCTCTTTGTCTGCACCTGGAAACATCAATGCGAACCATACAGGTAATAACAGGCGAAACTTGGAACTTATGCATTTCAGTCTGCAGCTTGAATATAGATAGTTGAGGATACAGTCGTTATTTGCACACTGCTCCTTGCTCAGCTATGTCAGAGTTTCTCCCTTAGTCTCTCTCTGGATCTCACTACAAGCTATATCTCCTTATCAACAATAATACCTATTCTAGCTCACGTCGTTCATGAGAATCAACTTTCAATCGCTGAGATATTAAAGGCTTCGATACTTTTCTGTATCTCAAGCTTTGTAAAACTCTCCACTCGTGTTTTCTACGATAAATCTACAAACTTAAGTACCGACAACAATACAGGTAGCAGTGCTAATTACTCATAAGTCCCATGTATACACACACGTACCCGAGCAGAGAGTATGAAATTGAATGAAGAAGTCTATGAAAAAGACCCGATCTTGAGTCGTTGCTTGCTCGATCAACTATTGTCACATACAAGCAAAAATGGAGGTGATCTTATTGGGTGCCAGTGCCTTTTGTACAAGGCTAGAGATCCTCAGAGAAAGATGTTCGCGTCATATTTGACAACGATGCCGTTCACGAGGTCCGACACTGCAAGCGTGGCGGTCAAATATCCACTGGCACCAACGAAGTCACCGGATCCACCAGTGATGGGCAGGTCCCAACTGGGGTTGCTGGAATTGAATCTTCCTTGAACTACGTAGAATCCATTGTACTTGGGAGTCCTGAGATCGGCTGTCAAAGTAATGAAGAAGTTGTTTGGAGATGATAGCAAAGAGGTGGTTCCAGAGTGGTATCCCCAGAAATCTGATGTCTTGTTCAAACCCTCCCTGAGAATGCTGTCGAATGTAGTCTGGTCCCCAAACTCCGCCAGTCCTGTGAAGTTGCCGCTGACTGAAATGGTCTGAACAGCTGTGACACCTGGTGGGATGAAGTTATCGTGAAGGTAGTACGTAAACTGGATGTGCTTTTTCTTCTTCGCACTCGCCACTTCGAATTGAGAACCCGAGATGAGCAATGCCACCATCAGCACGGCCAACATTGAGCTCCCCATTATAGACCGACCCATCTTTTCTTTGGTGAAGCACCTCAAGAACTAGCTAGTATCTGCGTAGAAGTAACTCCACCCGACCCCTGTCAATGTCAAGATTTTCCAGATATTAGACACTCGAAACAATGATGCGCTGCAGATTTCTATCTGATGAGCAGATGGACGCAGTGAACCTTGAGACGAGGACAGCTGAAGTATTCAATAAGTGAAGATTTGTTCTGGTAGACTGACCAGTAGATGCCGGCAGGCGATCGATAAACTGATATCAATGCCACTGTTGAGAATGTATATGTATTGGACAGTGAACTGATCAGGGCTGCTGCAGATTTCTGCTCCGTGGGTAGACGGATGTCATAAAATTTGGGCGAGCACCGTCGATGTTGTGAAATCCAGAGAGAAGCCTCCGCTTATATAGCTTCGACTTCGAGCACATAGGCCTCGAAGTCAACACACGTTGGACTAGGTTGTCACATAAGGATTGCACTGTGTTTGGGGGTCGCTTAGACATGTCATTCTCCAGGTGGTGTGAGGATGATGTCAGCGTCCTGGTCTTTTATTATAGGGGCCAGAGGAGCAGATATAGTACTGATTTTGTCCTAGTAGGTACAGAGCAGAGTGAGCCACACGCCTGTTGATACTCTGAAACCTCTTCTATGTTTGTGGCGGCATGTAGCTGCAGTTTTGACACCCACTGGAAGTGAATGGCAGAAGCTCACGAAGGGAGGAAGAAGCTTTTTTAAGGACCTACTATCACTAAGGCATAATTCCATGTATGAAGTTCGAATCTGGCTTATTTCACATTATAATAAAGTCTCAGAGAGGGCTAAACTTTGGCTCTGTCCAGTGAGGAAGAAACGAGTAAGTCAGTAGATAAGCCACTGCGAGTGCGCAGGAAGAAGCAATGAATGGATCTTTTAAAAACACATGCAAAAAAGCTAGTCAAACTCTGGCTTTCCACGTTGTACGGTTGGCTTCACATTGCTGCGCTCAACTTTTATCTCCACGAGGAACCTTGAACGTCTGACGAAAGTTACTGGTATATATGTCTGTCGTAATGATGGCGTAGCCAATGAGCTAAGGTCTTAGCTCATTGAACTTATTTTCTTCCATGTCACAATTTTCGTTCCGTATGAGCAAAGCCTCTCCTTGTGCATGTAACCAAATATTCGATGAAGTCAATCTGAGGTTAGTGGTTTATATTTCCTTCTAAGAATTTGATATGTCTTTGACTTTCAAGATCCATTTTTTTTGTTGAGGCCCAGACATTGAGTGTAAACTCTTCAGATACTCGTTATGTCCCTAAGAACTTTCGTCTGCAATTATTTGCTGTGATTATCAGATTCATCATTCACCAGCAGCACATTGTACAACATTCAATCCACTTACGATGTTGGTTTGAAGCTTGATTAGAGCTTGTCAGAGAGTGAATTTGCTGTTCCAGTTGGTTTCGTCATCGGAAGAGCTAGAGGAAGGAGATTTATGAGTTGAACCCGGAGTAGGAATGATACAAGCGTCTATACAAACCACGACTCACGGAGCACAATCCTGAGCTCTCGACCCAGCAGATGGTAATTGTCATCCTTCATTTTTCCTCCGCCTTTTCATGAGAACTCTGGCAAAATTAGAAAGTCAGTTATTCTGTTTCGTTTTTTTTCTGGCTGTAAGATTTCATCAATCTCAAGATCCGAGTGGAGGAAACTTCGCCTGATTCTGCTGGAGTGCGGAAAGCGCCACTTTATGGGGCGCAAATTCGCTGACTGTGCAAAACATGAGGAGAATCATACCGAGGCTTCGACGAAATGACAGATAAATGTGACCTGCAGAAAGTCAAGGTTTCGTAGAGATGTAATCGTGAGCAGCGTAGTAGGGATGATTGAGTCCAACATGATGGCCAAGTGCCCGTCGTAGACTACACCAGAATCCCATGTACTTGGGCAAACAGCCTCTTTGGTTGGCGACTGGATCTAGTCCTCCTCCTTGGTCTACATAGTCAGCTCCATATGAATCCATAACAGCGTATTTAGTAGGAGAGAATCACAAATACGAATCCTCGAAGAGCCGACATTCTCACGCAATCAAACATCGCGACTGAGTAGTGCAAGTCGAACCAACATAGTCGTCCATAGAGCGTATTAGCTTGACTGGGCAAATCAACTAAGGAGAATGTTTCTACCCTCTTTCTCTCGAAAAGGACGGCGACCATTCCAGCAATATAGGGCCTCCCTCGTTGGACAGGACTCTGCATGTAACATGGAGCCCCACCGAGATAAACCAGCCTGTGCGAAACGAATCTTTCTTTGTACATGTTACCCTGCCGATGGAGCAGTAAAACTCTGCTGATGTGCCGTATCTCTGCATTTTGGACTGGCCTGGATGACGATCGCGCTTCAGCCGGCAAAGTGGATCAAATCTCGACAGTAACTGCAAACTGTCCTCGGAGCACGGTGATATGTATTCATCTCAGGCCGACTTTGTTTAGCCTTTTTAGTGCTGCGGATCCAAGACAATTGATTTCTTGTGCATGAAGCCTTGTTTCTTGTGCCAGCGTCTGACGGTGACATGCAAATCACCTCATGGAAAGTAAACCAGCTGTTGAATGTTCAGAAGTAGTGACGAAGAATTTGGTCATTGTAGGTCTTCACTCCTGCTGTTAACTTCGGCTGGAGCACAATACCTTCCTACGAGTTTTGCTTTAAGCATACATGACCGCCATGTCTAAAAAACAGCACCACGCAAGGTTCATGACCGAAGTCTTTCCTTCTCTTTTCAGTTGCGAATCTTGGGTGACGGGAAAGAAATCAAGGGACATTGGTTTAAAAGAAGAACGAATGCATGCATGCCAACATCATAATGGCCTGGAATTTTTTTAATACTGGATTCATCATGGTCTACAGAATAAACTTGTATACCACCTTAACGCCACAAGACATGCAGCCCTCATATTTTACGTGATGAAGAAATTGAAGTATATGAAATGATGACTTAAGATGGAACACATCAAAATTACGCGTTGTCAAAAACATTCTCTGCAATTGGTTTTGCGGAGAATGTCTTGGCCATCAGGGAAGGATACAGCTTATGATCCTGATCTGCTTTTCCTTTCTTTTTGACACCAGAAATCCGATTTGATGTGGCCTCTGTCGTCCGGAGCAGTCTAGAACTCAACGTGCGGGCAGCCTCAAACAGGAAAATCATGTATGTAATCATTTTTTAAACCGTTCATTGAGTGTGGAGGAATTCCGAATTACACACAGTACTATTCTCTACGCAAAGATATGAAAATACGTTAGAAATTTTATAAGAAACTCACATGTGCAATCATGATGAATACAAATGGAAAATTAATAAAAATAAATGCAAGGTTTTAACACCATCAAAAAATTATCTCGTATAGCAGTTCAGTTTAGCAACCATCAATTTTTTTATTTTATTTTATTTTATTTTATTTAAATATAAAATTTTAACCAGAAATATGAGTTCACAAACTTCCAATAAATCTTTACGAAATTTTACAATCTACACCTAACATCTTGAATTTTGAGACTCTGCGTAGGAATCAAGTTTCCTGAAGTGTTTTTAACTCTTTCAAATCACTTCCTTTGTCCAAAACCAACCCCAACCTACTGATGTAGACTCTTTTTTGCAAAGTGTGCTTTTCGGAAACATAAGGACCTTTCTTTATGCCACTTTCATTATAATGTGAAAATGTGCCTTATCTCCCTGTACGAAAATACTGGGGGAGCCCCTAAAACATTGCACCTGGCTCGTCTTCTCGTCATAGGGAGTTGTACATACAGCTCATTTTACCCAGGGAATTGCAGTTAACATACTATCACGCAAGTTCTTGCAAACATCTCGAATAGCAGATTGGAATATGAAAGTAATATTACCTGAACTATCTCCAATCGGAGCTAAAGATTAATTCACCTATCACTGTAACTTGAAAACAGAGAAAGTGAATTTTCTTTACTTATGTGGCCTTTCCGTCTTTTTTTGCTTCTGTGTAATAGATGTTTACATAATCTTTCTACTCGTTGTAATGATTGGAAATTGTCAATATTGACAACCCTTTTTCTCGGCAAGGCTCTACAAAAAACGGTTGCGTGTCGACACGCACATTGGGCAGGACCGTCTCCCTCGTCTTCGTACTTTTGACCGAGTTCGCAATCTACCAGTCAAACAATGGAGCATATAACGTTGACTCAACGCTTCATACCCATAAAGCAATCATGGAGATCCTCCCGCGTAACTCCAGATCAGATGCAGCTAGGGCAGACGAGGTCTTGAACGTGAGCTTGGACGAAGATAGGAAATTTCTAGAACAACAAAAGCATGCCAGTAACACATATGGCTAGAACGCATAGGTTACATATTCAATCAATTTGTATGGTTGATGAGTTATTCTCACCCCTTGTGCTATTTGATGGTCCCCATTATACTCTATCTCCAAGTAAGAAAAGTATCAATAGTGAAAAATCAGCTTTCTGGAAACATATGGGCTCATACCAATTTCATCAAAATACAAAAGGAACATTACTACAACTAGAATATCCCAGCTATTAACCTCAATTGGTTCTTTTAAGATATACCACCGAACATTATTATTCATAAATATATAGCACTTGCAAGTGTTCTGCGTAAACAATAGGGACATATAAAATTTAAATTTACTTTAACATAACTTAGAGCATCGAACATTCGTGGTACTCGAATGGTAGCCTCATGAACATGTCAACATTGACTCCAAGACTAGAGTAGAAAACAGTTTCCTATATTTAATACTCCTCTACTTGGAAAATGTAATCGCTGACCTTTCGCCGGGAATATATTATTTATTAAACAGCTTTACATGTAAGATCAATAATCCGCAAAAAAATTATAAAATAGTGGTACTCAAAAACTAATTATGACTACTTCATAATCGATGCAATGCATACCACCTCATCATCCGTGTAAGAAGTCTAGCTTTCTGCAGTAGTAACAAAAATGTACATTATGTTGCAAGCCAATACATACATTCACATATATGTATGACCAGGCATGGTTATTTTGGGCCACCCTATACCAAGTCATCTAAATTTATATCACCTTTAGCATATAAAGTAATAGTACCTATACTCTAATTGGCTCATAATTGGAGCGTGAAAAATCGTAAAATCTTAGCCATTCAATTTGTTATCAAGTCGGTCTAATAGTTCTCCTAGATCGGAGTCCAGAATATGTAAATTAAATTTTCTTTCGCCCACGAAACTCGGAGCCCGCTGCAAGTCTTATCTTGTCTCTCCCTTTACCTCCGAACCCTCGCTTGTCTTCAAGTACACTCGAGTCGACTTGTAACACAAAAGCAACTAAATTATTAAGTTAATTTTCTTGATACGACTAAATTAAACTAATTTAAATCCTTCACGCGCTATTGACTAATATAACCGTGTTTGTGTATGACTTTATATATTGGTATAAGTTGATCAACATATATGAGG